TGAATTACTGACACACACAGGAAAAAAAAACTGAGCTAAATGAAGGGAATACAGATGCAAAGGCTTAAAACTATCATTTGAGGAAGATAGTCTACACATTGGGTATCACCTATAGTAAACTAGTATCTATAATTTGAACAAAAGTACTGCAATATTCTTCAAGTGAACATTCTGCTTCAAGACAGATTCAAGGCCATTGCACAATAAAATTTCCCTAAAATAAATAAAAAAGAAAAACAGACAAATAGTCAACCCACACAGTCAAGGAAAACTGTGGTTGGAATACTTCAGGAAAATGGGAGATATATTGCAGTGAACAGGGGATAGATCCCATTCACACTACTGAACATCAGAGATAAAGGATTCTTCAGTTATTTAAGCAGAAAAGCAAGTCATGTAAGATTTAGGGGAAAGCACTATGCTAGCCCAGAATGCCTTGTAATGATCAATACACAAGACCACGGAGGAATGTCCACACAGTTTTGCGGAAAATGAAATTTAGTCGAAAAACACTAGGACTGATTAAGATGTCATTTGAACACAGAAGTGACTGGCAGACATTCACTTCTTACAGAAGGAAAATTTGCTTAACAATGACATTGAGCAGTGAGAGATGATTAAAAATCAGCTGGAGAATGGCCAAGTTAGGTTAAAAGGTTTGGCAGGGAACTGTGACTCCATTTAAACAAAGTGTGAAGAGCAGACAACTCACTTGACAATTTGCTATGAAAACTGATGGTGAGCGCTAAGAGCCTTAATGATGTCAAATAACAGAACAGGTACCACATACTGCAGTTTCCCTCCCTCCTCTCCTCCCATCCCTTCCCCTACCCCTTCAGCCTCTAGGAACAATTTCTTAAAGCAAACTATTGTACTTTGCTACATTGCTTGATTTTTCATTTTTGTAGAGTATTTTATGAAATAATCTGATGAGGTTTTTTTCCCTTTAAAATTGTAAACAATATAAAAGCTTAAAAGTGATTTATGTTCGATTACATGAAAACAGACAACAGTATCTTTCTGGTTTTTTTAAAGATGTATTTATTTTTATTTTAGGTGCTTTGCATGCGTTCATGTGTGGACCATGTGCATGCAGTGCTCAAAGAGGACGAAAGAGGGCAGCAGATCCCCTGGAACCATTACAGATGGTTGTCAGCTACTATGTGGGTGCTGGGAATTGAACACCCATCTTTTGCAAAAGTAACAAGTGCTTTTAACCACTGAGCTATCTCTCTAGGTTCTCTTTATAGTTTCCTATAAATGATTAATTGGCAAATTCAAAAATATGATACATTAAATACTTTGTTCACCATTCTGTTTTAGTACTCATGAACTTAGTATGCATTAGGGACACTTGTACTTTATTACAATTTATATTTTAAAGACCTAATATTCTAGGAAATGCAGTGGTTACTAATGCAAATATCCTCAGTTCTGCTATATTCAAGGGAAAAAAATGTCAGAAAGTACATGAAATTAATAAGAAAATTAAGGAGCACTTAATAAATGTCATGAACAAAATGGAAAATGGTTTAAGTACTATCATTGACTGGGATTTGGCTAAGATCTCAGAGTAGATAGCATCACAGCTATGGGGACACATTCAAGAGGAAGGTCCTAGTCAAAAAACAGAATACAGCTCTGAGTAAGAGCCTGGTTGCTTGGCATAACAACTTCTCCCAGGAACCAAGCAGAAATCCCACAAAAACTATGCCAATCTCTTGCAAAGCCAGCACCTCCAATGATTGCTGACCCAACGCTAAAACTTCTCTATTAAATGTCTCCCCACCTATCAACATGGCCACAGTGTTGACCAAGTGTCTAGCCCATGAACTGACGGGAACAAACCACACTCAATCTCCAGTAAAGGAAAATGTTTACCAAAGGGAAGAAAGGAAAGAGCAAGGCCCAAAGCTACAGTACTTTGAATATATTGTTAGTGTTTGAGATTAAAGACTGCATTTTAGAGTTGTGCATATTACACAATCGTAAGATTAAATTAAAAATAACTCCTAAACTTAAGAGCAAAATGAGTAAATAAGGCAGCACAGCATAACTACTTACAGACATTTTAAAAATATTTTTTAAAAGCAGTAACTTGATTGGACATACCTACAGCAACATGCCCCTAAAGACTGAAAAAATGACAAACAAAAACTTTTATCTATTTCCAATATGATGCTGTTGATCATGTTGACAATTGTGTGGATGCGTGGTCATGGGGATGTGATTGGCAAGTGGGAATTTTGGTATTGAAAAGGTTGTAAAATAGACAAGATTAGATAAAGACTGATATCCTCATTTGTTTAGAAAGTATCCACATGTTCGTGATTTTACACAGTACACATACATAGCACACTAACACATAATTATACACACTCATACACACAGAATACATACCCACACACACACTCATATACATACACACACACAATACCCACCATCCCTTAACTCTATACATTGGAATAATCTTGAAGCAAGGAAATTGACAGCAATGTATGCCCAAATACCCAGATTACAGTCTCTAATTATCATTTCCAAGCCCATGGAAGTGAAGGCTCCTTAGAAGGAGACTAGGAGTCTGAGACAGGAAACACAAAGCTTCAACCTGGAATATTTTCAGACCACAGCCAAGAATATTATCACATCCTCTTAAAGGCATGCCAAGAGCCTTGGAAGAGTCATCTGCTAGCCAAGAATGTCATAATTTGAGCATCAGCTAAAAGAGTATCTGCTTTGCATTGAAATGTTTCAAGTATGTTTAAATCTCTGAGGTCCTAGTCTTAAAAAAACAGGTTATACTGGAAAGGTGGTAAATTAGCAATTGTAGCAAGTTGGTAAAGGGAAAAATCAGGTATTTATTTCATATTTCCTATAGTATGCCTCAGAATAACTACATAGTTCATGAGGAAATACTTTCTCTGTATGTGGAAGCAACAGCCCAGCCAATAAACAATGACTGACTGAAGAGCTCCACCTGGCAGCTCCGAAGGAGTCGAGGGTATACAAAATGATTGTCAATGCTGATGAATGCTCAGAAAGAGAAACAGTCAGATACCATGTGCCTCAAAAGAGCTACAAAGCATACAGAAAAAAGACCTGTCAAAAATAAGCATAAAGGCTGAGTGAAGCTTCTAGATGTTACAAGAGCAATTAACAGGAAATACATAGAACAAAGGGAAAGGTGAAGAAGAGTCAGCAAAACACAGAATGTGGTACACTCTGCTGACCTGCTTCATCAATAAACTGCTCAGGAGAAGGGAGGGAAGAGCTTTAAGAGACACAGAGTGAGTTCCTGTCATTCCAACCCTTCATAAGCTGAAATCTAACACCCAAGGTAATGTCGTTTAAAAATAGGTAATGAGGGAGGAGCCCTCATAAATATGAGTAGACCCCTTTTAAAATGGACCCAACGGACCTCCTTGACCTCTCCTTGCCATACAGGACTCTACAAGGAATGTTATTTCATAAGGATCCTCCTTGGGACCTCTCCTCTCAAGAGGAGGACCCTCATGAGAATCAGGCTACCCTGACACCTGACTTCAGACTTCAGATTGCCAGTCTTCACACCTGTGAGGAGAAAAACAAAACAACAACCAATGTGTTGTTTGTAAGTCACCAGGTTCGTGGTATTTATCTGTATCTGTCCAGACTGATTCACACAGGGTATATGTATGAGATTCATTATAATTCTGATTTTAACCAATAAACTGCATGAGGTAATGAGGACTTTTTAGAGAACATTTAAATACTTAATGATACCAGAATTATTTTACATTATTTTAGACAGAATAGTATTGTTGATATTCTCATTTTGAAAATTCTTACCTTGGGCTGAAATACTTAGTTTCTTTCACTTGTGAGAATTTGCTTAAAATATTCCAGGTAAAGGGTGACTGGGGGCTGTACATGAAATTTACAAATTGTCTCAGGTGAATGACTCTACATTTGTGTTCACAATCTCTCCTTTTAAAAGTTTTGAAAATAAAAATAGAATGTTCACATTAGGAAATCCATCTGAACTTCTACATTCAGGGTTAAAAATAAAACAATAAACATTGGAGGTGAAACATCGATTTGAATTGCAAACACTAATTTTCTTTACGTACTATATACTAAAAACATAGTAGAAAGATATAATTCCCAAGAGAAAACAACTCTACCCAAAAAGATAACATCAATCCAGTTGTGGTGGCACACACCTATAATTTCAGCACTGGGTAGGTTGAGGCAGGAGAATAACCAGTTTGAAGTCACATGATGAGACCTAGTCTAAAAATCAAAACCAAACAAACTGCATCATTTAGTTCATTGAAAGATGAAGTGTTACACTGCTCCGACAGAAGTTATCTATAAAACCATGTTTGCTAAGGGCGTCTGACTCTGACCCACCTGCAGGGCCCTGTGGTTACAAAAGGTAAGCATCCAGCATCCGTAGTTCTCCAGCGAGAGGAGGCACAATTATCCTCTTCCAGCCCCGTCTGAATATGACAAGGGAAAAGCTTTAGGGAACAAAAGATGTCCTCGAATGGCTGATGAGTAAATTCTACATGCGTCGCCAGGTTTAAATTTCTCTTCCCCCCAAACGTAAAACAAATCTGCTTTCATCCTCTGAAATACTGAACTGAAACTCTTTTGCAATGCTAAAGAAATGGGAGAATATTCTGGCTGGTTCAGGGAGGGAGGGCTGTTCCAACCTTAAATGTAATGCCTCACAAACCCTTAAGACACATGGAGGTAAAAATGGGAGGAAAAAACCGCTTGCTCCATCCCACTACTGTGCTCGCTCCTTGTCTGAGTGTGATTTCCCGAGACAAGGTTTTAATGCTGAAGCTATCTGGCCGTTCTAAAAAGCGCAACTTTTCCTGAAGTCTCTTGAGAGAAAAGTTCTCAAAGTCCGAGGCATGAGTCACTCCGCTCAGTTTTGATGAGTAATCTCAGGTGTCACTGAACCTTGTTCGGAAGAGGAGGGGAGGGGGCGTCAGATTTGCAGACGGAAGAAAACAGTCCTCTCTGGATTGGGTGGCGAGACCTCGACTTCCCTAAAATTGCGTCATTTCGAACCCCATTGGGTCCAGATGTTATGGACTCCGACGGGTTACCGTCTCGGAAACTCTCCATCACGCAAGCAAAAGGCGAGGGGGCGGCTAATTAAATATTGAGCAGAAAGTCGCGTGGGGAGAGTGTCACGTGGCTCTCCAGGCTCGTCACGCCAGCGATAAATACCGCGAAGCAGGAGCAGGGACTAGAGCGCACTCCGACCTGCTCCACTCCTGCACCGACCGAGGAGAGCAGAGCAAGGAGCACCCAGCGGAACACCCAGCGAGTGCGCACCTGCCGAGCATCCCCGCCGCCGAGCTGACCGCAGTGAGTACCTCTCCCGCCTGCCAGCTGTAGCTGCCCGCTGCCCGTCGTGCCTCGGTCGGAGGTGGCGTTCTGCCTGGCTTTGCTCCCGCTGCAGCCACAGACGGGGGGGGGGGGGGGGAGATTGTGCAAATGCCAACGCCCCTCTTTGTCTCCCACCTGCAGAGCCTCCGGGCTTGAGGGTGAGGGTCAGGGGGTCTGGGACCCTGAGACTCAGAGAGAGGAGGATTTGAGACTCTTTGAAGCGTCATCCTCCTTTCTAAGGGGTATGGAGAAATGCTAGCCCTGATTTGTTTTTATCTTGGTTTAGCGGGACATGTTTTCCTTTCTAGTGGCACTGAAATACTGCTGCTCTAACTCTTGGGTGGTCACCGCCTACGTGTGTGTAATGTCTCCTCTCTTTTCTTCTACTCCCAGAAATCCAACATGAAAATCCTCGTGGCCCTGGCGGTCTTTTTCCTCATTTCCACTCAACTGTTTGCAGAGGAGATCGGTGTCAACGATGATCTAAATTATTGGTCCGACTGGTCCGACAGTGACCAGATCAAGGTGAGACCCAACCGGGCATGGAAGCTGTTCCCTTCTCCTTGTGCTAGCATCCTGATCAGTGCACCCCGAGAGGCGCAGTGAAATGCAAAGAGCGTCACCCCCGGTCCTCGTACAAGGCTTCGCGCCCAGCTCCCAGAACTAAGTTTCCTCCCTGCAGGAGGGCTGCGTCCTGGTTCAAGGTCCTTCCTGCAGGAGCAATGCTCTCTCAAGAGCCGGTCCTCACCGAGCTGGAAACCTCTCACGTAGTTTTAGTCCCTAGTTACGAGATCTCAGGGGCTTTGGTTCAGCTATGTTCACTGGGCGTTTGAGATGCTGGGCAGAGAAGCAAACCAGTCGATGGGGACAAAAGCGAAATCTTAATCAGCTGCGGGGTCTCAGGGGCGGGAGCAAACTCCACACTCCTGTATTTAATGTTCCAAGTTTCCCTTTACGTGGTTCTCGGCTATTGGCGCGAAGGAGCGCACCTTGGGAAACAGAAAGTTGTGAGGTGATGCAGGGTCGCTTGTAAAGTATCAGCGCACTTCTGCATCCACCCCCACTGTGTGCACGTAGGACAGTGGGTGGGGGTGGGGTCTCTGAAGCCTCGCTGAGGGTGAGACCATGAGTGAGTTTTCTAGTGGGATAAAGAGTAGAAAACGCATAGGACCTGAAGGTGTTGTGATGCTGGACAGAGGCACCCAGGATAGACTTTGGGGAGAAGGAAGTCCCAGGTGGGGCCAAGTAAGACAGAGTGCTGGGCAGATTTTGTGGGGGCAGGACTGGTGCGAGCCCACCAGCTTCTGGTCTGGGGGAGGAGGGTCTGTAGCTCTGGGAGAAGCCGGGGCGCACGGTGGAGCTGGCCCCTTTTCACTCATGTTGTCTACACGCGGGTTTGTCCCCCAGGAGGCGCTGCCAGAGCCCTTTGAGCATCTTCTGCAGAGAATCGCCCGGAGACCCAAGCCTCAGCAGTTCTTTGGATTAATGGGCAAACGGGATGCTGGTGAGATGAGCAGTAGTCACTAGGTCTATCAGGCTACCCGATCTGCATGCTTGCTCCTTCCTGGAGCACCCAGGCGTCTCTTGCCCTGCGAGTATAAATTTACACGTCAAAAGACTTGTGATTCCCGAAGAACTCTGATCTGCACTGCACTAACATATGCACTAGCCCAGGAGGGCGGATGGGTGGGAGGGGGCAAGGACCATTTCTCATGTTTCACAGCACCAAAGGGACCCCGCACTGGGAACTAACGTTAGCTAAACACTTCCTTGACTAAAGATGCAAATTACAAGGGCTTCCAGGTGCGGATGGTCCAGGCTCAGGGTGAAAGATGCTTATGTGTTTCTGGGATTGGGTTCCGAGTTGGAGACCCCTTGCTACAGTGAGAGAAGCATTCAGTTGCCTTTAGTTGGTGGCACAATCAGTGGAGTGTGTAAAGAGTTAATGCCAATTCATCTCTTGTCAGATTCCTCAATTGAAAAACAAGTGGCCCTGTTAAAGGCTCTTTATGGTAAACATCCCTATAAATCTTCGTTTTACTATTATGAATGGTCATGTAAGAAAGTATTTTATGTAAGAAATACAACTAAGCCTAATTAAGAGGTGTGTGTGTGTGTGTGTGTGTGTGTGTGTGTGTGTGTGTGTGTGTTGAACATGTGACCAATCTTGAAGTCAGTACATTTACAAAGCCTTGTTCGAGTCCCACCATTGTGCCTTTTAACCCATGGCCCCAAAAGGTTATTCAATAAACATTCCTTTGGCTTTCATTAATAAACTGGTTAGCATTCCTCTACTTTATTCCTAAAGAAGGCACATAAATAGGAAGTGCTAAGTATTTTGAAAATCAATTCTTGAAGCTCTCCACAAAAGATATAAATTAGCTTTTAATAAGAAATACTTATGTGTGCTAATTCTTTGTCTTTTCTTCTAGGACATGGCCAGATCTCTCACAAAAGTAAGTTCACAGTTATTTTTGGCATTTATCAAATGCTAATGTTGGTGATACTGAATTCTGCTTCATGCTACCTTTTAAGGCATAACATAGGGCCCAATAATTTTAATTAAGACAATGTAGGAAAGGAAAAGACATATCCAGAATGTGATTTGATGAATAATCACTATGACTAAACAATTGTGTAGGCATGTTGCAGTGCCAAAGCATGTATTACATTTAAAAAGGAAAAAGAATTAAGATCTGTATATTTTTATTTGTAGAATTCCAACTGTACAGTTAAACATCCATCACAAGCGTTCATCTCCGCCCACCCACCCTCCATGAACACTACAGGAAAAAGCACTTATATGTATCTTCTAACTCATATTCATGAACTGGGTCCTATAATGGCAAGGAAGGTGGTTATTCAGCTGCTAATTAAGTGGAGTGGGTGAATATTTGAGCAGAAAATCCACTTAAACTGTGGAAACAGATAGAGATGGGCTATTTCCCCCTTGATCCCATAATTGACAGGGAAACCTGATAGCGGACAGTGAAGATCATAGAAGGGTGGGCGCTAGAGTCTTTAGAGATGTTTCCTAGTTAACGGGAGCCAGGGAGGGCAGGAAGTCCCCTGGGCCCCTGGCAGTGTGGCCTGCTTCTGTGAGTGCCATGGATGGACTTACCCAGTGGCAGGGTAGACCCCCCCAAACCCATAGCACCTTGGTCTCAAATAACACAATGGAAACCAAGAAAAATTCTCCCAGTAGAAATAAGATAATAACCTTTCCCAAAGACTTAATCTTTGGGGGGAAAACTTTATTTGTATTTACCCTGTAAGGATTTAAATTTTAAGGGAGTGTGGGTTATAGAGCTAGAAATATAAAATAAAAATAAATGTATCCTATTAATGTCAAAGCCAACATATTTTCACCAAAGGAGTTTTTTTTTTTTTTTTTTAGTTTAAATCCAGTAAATGTGAACTCTTTGAAGATTCCAGTCACCAAGGATAGAGATCTGGCTTAAGGTTCACTTGCTGAGAAATGCAATGTATTTAAAACTTCATAATAGATGAAATAGAATACAGATCAAAGAGCCTGCTAATGTCTGGACATAGAATTGAGAAGAGTACTTGTGATGAGCTGTTTTAGTGTGATTTGTAAGCTTATATAAAATCTTCTGTGGGCTCGCTCACTAGTACATGAAGTAGGAGTATATTTATTACACAGGTGTATATTCAGAAGCTTGCTATACTTTGTACTAGTTATGAGTTTATTTTTTCAAAGACATACATACTAAAACACCCTTAAATGTATTTTCCAGGACATAAAACAGATTCCTTTGTTGGACTAATGGGAAAAAGAGCTTTAAATCCTGGTATGTATAAAATAATGTCTGAAAATATGCAAATCCAGTTCTATTATTTTTATAAAGCATTGTTTTCAAAGTACTGAAAAAGGAGTAATTGACTTAAAATGAGCATGTCTGTAGATAAATTTTCATAGTAGTGTTTACAGCCAAGAATGCATTGTTAGATGCTTAAGCTAATACCACCACAGTATTGGTATATTTCTCTCAAAATACCAGCTCTTCCAGCATCTGCCCCAGTTAGTCATTACATACCCTGAGTCTTTGAGCTGGTCTGACACTCTTTTTCATAGATATTCTCAGTAAAACATACTGGATCCTTAGGGAGAGGTGAGAGCTTTTCACTTATGACTGAAGTAATATGAAATTTTCATAAGATGTTACATCTGGCAATATAAACCATCTTCCAATATAAGAATAAATAGATATAATAAGCAAAATGTTTCTAAAAATCACCCTCTCCTTCTGATCCTTACTATCTCTGGGTCACACACACCTTTGACAATCTGGTAAACTGAGAGACTCTCACCAGCTCCGATGCACACAGGCTGGTAGACACTTTCAGAGAGTTCAAGGACCAGGTTAGAGTCTGCTTCCCTGAAGGAGACCACTGTGTCCCAGCTACACTGCCAAGCTGACTTTGGCTGCTTTAATTAGCATTTGTCTCACTTCTGTGAGCCACAGAGTCTTGGTACCCAAAAAGCCTGTCGGGGACAAACTCAGGCTACACATCCCCCTCCTGAGAAAAGAGAATGAGAAACCAACTTCTGTCTCCATCAGAAGTGTCCAGTTTGGGGTGCAGTCTGCTCTAGCTCAGGTTTACACACAGAACTGACGTTGAACACTTAGTGTATTGCTCATGATCCTCATAGAGGGAGGCAGGCTTTTAGTGAGCTGTCCTGGGAAAGCAGAACTGATAGCCCTGGTGCCTTCCACTTTATCCTAAACCTTTCTCAACTAGGAAACTGTTCACAGAAGCAGCATGACTTCTACAAATCTGTTGTTTCCTCTCAATTAAGTATTTCATGTAGGGCATTTTCCACAAACACATTCATTTCATTATAATGCCAATCTAAGTAATAATGCTGGCAGAGATGATGAAATACCCATACATAGACAGTTATTCTGATCCTTAACATTTTGTAGTTACAGATCCTATGAAATTATATCTAATATGGTGTAATATAATGCATCTTAGCATTTTTTTTAGCCTGAATGAGTCACAGTACTTAAATTGCTTAGCAGTCAGGTGCTAAGTACTTTTGGAAGTAGCAATTGACATTTCATAGGCCCCCAGATGTTAAGAGGTAAGTCAAATTGTGCTGTGTATTTGTGACTTCAGTGGCATGCCTACAGAGAGTAAGAGTCACTTTAGTATCAAGGGCAACCAACCTGTCATCAGAAGGCATCCGTGAGAAAAGAGACCCTCATACCATTAGGTTCCCCTAGAACAGAGGTTGGGCAGGCTTTGCCTGAAAAGAATAAGGCCCTAAATATTCTAGGCTTCCTAAGCTATGTTGGCCTGTAGTGACTCCCCAAAGTTGTCATTTTAAAACCAAAGCAACCATAGACAATATACACATGAACTGAGTATGTATGTGTCTAAATAAAACTATATTTATAAGAACAAATGGGGGGGGCACCTTTGACCTATGGCCTGTAGTTTATTGACCTCCATCCTCGAATGAAAGTTCCTCATTTCTGTTTTATCCTCCTAACGCACGGCTGCGGTAGACGTGTTACTCTCCAGTTATTCTGAGTGCCGCCAGTCCTTCAGTAAGTTGCTGAAAATGAACATCATACTCAATCATAGAAACACACTGCTGTACTTTACAATGCCACATGTATAGCAGATGACAAAATAAGCCTTGAATGCTGTGGCTAGAACACTTCTAAGCAGAATACAGTGTCAGACATCTTTGAAAGATGTACAAAAAAATCTTAGAAATACTTCTTCTAGGGGAAAAAGTCATTACGATATTGTAGTAATTTAGTGTAGGCATTGAACTTCATTCATGCCCTCTGTAAATCCCCTTAAAACACACTTTTTACTTCCTCTTTGTTTTCAGTGGCATATGAAAGAAGTGCAATGCAGAACTACGAGAGAAGACGTAAATAAATTCTGTAACACACTATCTATATTCAGCCTCATTTGGGTCAATGAGCGAAGAAAGGTAAAATAAAACATGCACTATGCGGAATAATTATTTATTTAATAACAAATGTTATGAATGGAAAAACTAAAAAAAGTGTTTATTTTTTCATATTGTGCCAATAAGTGTTGTAATTCTAATGTGGTGACCCCTCAGAAGTAGAAACTAGTAGTAACCTCAGCACAGCACAGTGTCGATGGAATTGTACAAGCTCACTGGTGAGGCAGTCTCCCAAGGAAACAAGAGCCAGTGCAGACAACTAGCACTGGCAGTGAAGAAACTCCTGTGCAGTCTTGTGCTTCCCCCGGTTGCTTTTACGCTGATAATATAGAAACTTTGGTATCTGACTCTACTGGTATCCTAGCAGCATGTTTCTTGTTCTGTGACTGTATAGAGATGTTTTTAAAAGTTTCAGTGTGATTCTCTGGTCTTCATTCATTGTATGATGTGTTGTGATAGCTACCATTTTAAATAAAAGAATATATCTTCAGGACTTTTGTCACATTCTTTCATTAATATTTATGTCAAATCAACAATCATTATTGTACTAGATGAAGTATGTTCAAAGCTGTTTTGGTTAAAACACATTCTTTCTCCACCCCCCTTCCCAATACACAAATGCAGATATTTTTATGTGTGCATGCACACACTCACTCACACACATGCCCCCTCCCAAACACACATTTCTTTTTTTTTGGGGGGGGGAGTCATTTTAATAAAGAAATAAAATAAAGATATTAAATAAAGAAATTTCCTTTTGGATACAAAGAGTAAAAGCCAAATATGCCTATGACTCTTTGTTGCAGATAATAATCTGTTCTGTTTTCAAAATTAATTTCACTGGCTGTTTTAGTTCCTTGTTGAATAAAATATCACATCAGCACACTACAGGTTTACGTCTGCTTAAAACCCACATATAAATACACTAGCGCTTGAGTGGCACAGGAATCAGGATAGCAAACCAGACGCTCAGAAGACTATGTGGACATCTGAGGACTGCCCAGTCGTAATAAAGGCAAGAAATCCTTTTGGGCATTTCTGTGGGATGCTATTGCATGGCTGACACACAGGATCCTTTAGCAGGAGCTTGGAGGAAATGAATCAAGAATAAATGCGGAGCACTGAAAGGAAAGGGCGTGTGCACTTCTTCAAGGGGAAAGGTGGCCAGAGGTCCTTGGAACTGGTTTCCTAATGCACAGAGTGTGAAACACTAAGAGAGAATAAAACAGTACAGGCCCAGAAGCACCCAGTGTTGTAACACCGTATGAAATTAGGCTGTACTGGTGACTGCTGATCAGTGAACCCATCTGCAGGAAAGCCCAAGTGTAATTTAACGTCAGTGTCAGTATTGGAACTGAATAGTTATATTTACAGGTTATACTTCATTATCATCTCACTGTCATCATTTATAATATTTAAATATTCAAAAAACCTCTCAATCCCTACCACATAACAGCAACATTTGATGCTCTATTGTAATATGATAACAGATCATGTCACAAAAGTAGCTATATTATGTATATGTATAATCACTCAATGGGGGATGTATTTTTGTTACTGTTAGTGTAATCATTCTACAGATGGGAATATAAAGCTTGAGTAACTGTTGAGATGGGGGATTGTATATGAGGGAATTGTGGGTTGCAAAGGAGCTACTGAGGAAATGGCAAGACAAAAAAGGTAATAACGAAGTTGGCGAAACATGCTGATGCTGCAGAATAGGATGCAGCAATTTAAAGCGACATTGGTGTGTAACAGCAGCATGGCAGCTTAACTGTGGTTTGCTATTGGGCACAATGCAGCCTTTCTGCATCGTAATGCATACATACATACATAATACACATATGTTGTAATAAGGGGAAAAATGTCATGAGCACGAGCATGCATTTCAAAGTCCAAGTGCTTAGGCTGAAACCTGGGCTCAGCTTCATGCACTTGTGATGTCGAGCACGCCCCTTAACCTTTCTTTGACTGATTTTCCTCCTGAGTGAAAATGCCATGACAGCAGTCACAACAGTAAGTGGCACCTCAGTGGAGCTCAGGTGAGAACTGAGCAAAATGATGGTATAAAGCCTTGACACACGTGAGACTCGGAGTATAATGTCTCACGCACAGTATGTCTTCAGAGGATGCTACCTGCTACCATTCACAGCTACTCTCCCAAACGCCTGTGGGAAAATCAGCACTGTATGTTAGCCCCTGAAGATTTTCAAAGGCACATTGAACCAGCAGCAGGGTGGGGGTGGCTTTTACATATTTTCCTCACAAATTACATCTAGGGCTAGACCACAAATTATAGCATGCTCTGTGTTGTTCGTGGCTGCACTAAGCTAGTCCCCTGGCCCCTGTTAACTGTAAGATCCTATAAATCTGTGGGGCACAGTCCTGGTGCTGTGGAGAGACAGGCATTCAGCATGATCACACTCACGCCTGCTGTCCTTCAGACCCAGAGCCCAGGCAGCGATGTGACTAGGGCAATGGAAGGAGACTTCAGCCCGACATTGGTCCTCAAAAAACATTGACTCTTATTGCTTCTCTGCCCATGGTACATTTCCTTTAGCTAAAATAAGTTTTCTTCACTGCCATTCTTGCTTATCTTATTTTGTTTTAAAACACCAAAAAGATCAAGCCATATAAAGAAGTTACCTGTATATTTTATTACTTTATTTATCTTACTTGTTTGTGTTCATCTTGACCACCGTTGAGGGCCAAACAATGTGATGCTAACTAAAGCTGAGTAGTCTGAGTAGGTTTTGTAAAGGGGGTGAGTACTGAGGATGGGTAGAGTTTGTGGTTCTCTGCCAGAGATTGTTAATCCCACCAGTCAAAAACAAAACCACTACCACAATTTAAAGTCAAATTTGAAGCAAGCTTCAGTTAAATACTGGCCAGGTTGACGACTCTCTGGCCAGGTCTATCTCTGGTTTCCCAGAAAAATGGCCCCGAGTCACCGTGTGCAGTAGTTTAAATATTTACCATCAGGTCCAATCAGGCAAGCATACATCCTGCCTGCTTCCTGCACATGTGATCAAGCACATCCTGTGCAGATGGGTCAAACAATCTTGTTTAGAGGAGTAAAAAGCACGTGGCTTGCTATCTGCTACAAACAATAGTCTCCAGCATTTCAGGAGCTTGCAGATTAGAGACTTTTTTTTTTTTTGGCTTTTTGAGACAGGGTTTCTCTGTGTAGCTTTGTGCCTTTCCTGGGACTCACTTGGTAGTCCAGGCTGGCCTCGAACTCACAGAGATCCGCCTGGCTCTGCCTCCCGAGTGCTGGGATTAAAGGCATGCGCCACCACCGCCCAGCCCAGAGACGTTTTTGTTTCATGGAGCTCTTAGGCATAGCAATTAAAACTTAAAATGTAACTCTAGTTCTCACAAGACCAGCTTGAGGGTGGGATATGGTTTTAGGTCCCAAAGAGGATGTGTGGATATTATGGAGCTGGCAGGGGGAGGAGGAGACAGATGATCTGAGAGTGAATTGGGATGGCTACCTGTGCAGTTTATTGAAAAAGGAATACACCTTTTGTATTCAGTAGCTTAGCCACAGGCAGGATTGAATGTAGACTTGGGGACAGAAAGAAGCCATTAACTTCATTATAGCATTTGCCTGAGACAAAAGCGATTAAGTAGCTAAATGCCTATTCTTCTCAAAGGTTCAGAAACTCTCTCCGGAGCCCTCTTGCATCAATGAAAGGGCTACAAGTCCCTCCTGCCAGAGCTAAGGAGAATGACTGCTTTAGCAAGCTGGCACTTTCTTTAAGCCCCAGAGAGAATGGGGACCCTTACCCAAATGCCTGACCCTGGGAAAAGGGCTTCTGGGGACCAGACACCCCACTACAATTTAAGAGCAAGTTTCATTCCTCAAGGGGATAATCACTGAGCTGTTCCCTAATTATGCCCCTTTTGTGACTTAGTCTTACTGTATGGGCCTGTTCCCCTCATACACTCCAAAAGGGAAGGTCCTGATGTCTTATTCTTTTCCCATTACACAGCACCATTCTGATTTCTCTATGCTTATTAACTGACCTCTTGCCATTAATGGCCTCAGGCTCTGGATCTGAATTGTAGACATTTCATCCTTGGGATCAGGTGTGTCTAGTAAATCTCTAACATTCCTGTTCTTGGTATAATAAAGAAGACAAAATGGGATTCCTGGTTCCACGGTGACGGGGACTTTTTTCCGAATAATTATTTTGTTTTAAAGAGGCTGCCACTTTTTACATTTTCATCCTTCAAAGCCTGCACAAAATTTCCCAAAGGAAAAGGCATAAGGGAACTCTCTTAACACACCATAGTGAGAATCATTAAAAATGAAAGTAAAAAGGTGTTGGAGAAGTGCGGGTTTGCAATGTCGAAACGCTGGAACTTTGTCAAGCAGCAAGGGTCCCCGTGTGGTCCCCCTCGGGTCCCCATCCCCACACTAGCACCCTGGGAGAGCCACTGCTACTCCAGGCCAGAGGAGTCACAAGGGAACACAGGTGCCTGGCAGCTGCCATCTCCTGAGGGAAGTGGAAACCAAACAGTGTGATATAGGAGGGTGGGGCAGAGAAAGGCGACCCATCACCCTGCTCTCCTCCCGCTGAGCAAACTCAACCCAAGAACAGGGTGAAGATCTTTGAAGGAGGTCCACAGGTAAGCAGCAATGCCAAGCAGTGCACAGGGGGAAAAATGGGAAGGCAAGGCACACTCGGAGAGAGAAAGGCAGACCCCCAGCAGTATGTGCTCTGTGATGTTCACAGGAAGCAGATACACAGAAACTCACATAAGAAATGAAAGTTGAGGTGAAATCCCTCCTCCAGCTGCCCAAAGCTACACCCTGAGCATATAGGCTCACACTAACACAAACAAACATCAAATAATACAAATCACATATTTTCATTGTTTTTATATGTTAAATTCTCTCCTTTAAACCAAATAAAGGTGTGATTTCTGAAGTAGGTTTTTAAAGATTAGTAAGTACAAAGGGGTTTATTCAAAACAGTAGAAAGAATTCTAGTAGACCAGAAATGAAGCCAGTCCCTACCAATGAAAACACATGAACAGCATCATCATCAAGGCGAAGACCCTATAGGAAACCCAGAACCAGGAGAGGTGCTGGCCCAAGACAGTGGTCCTTGAAGAAAACCAATTTGCCCTGGTAATGATGCATATCATGACATATGTGCTCAAAACCATGAACTAAAGCAATATTTCCCTGTCAATTACTGAAAACTGAGGACAAATCTATGGAATAAAGAAACTAGCTATGACTAGCTTAAATCTTTATTAAAACCATCCTAATATGACAACAGTTCTGAAGAGCATCCTGCCTAAGGACATTATATACTGCATTCATGAAGGTCAGTTCACATTCCATGCTATTCTGAGAACTGCTGTGTTCTGATTCATAGAAAGTATGGGAATGAAGGCTGCTGTTAGCACATGTTTGTAAGTGCCACAAGATAAGACCTGAGGTTTTAGCAACTGTCAGTCAACTTGGATTAAATAGAA